CACTGAATGAATAAACATAAATAATTTATTATCCTGAGATGTCCTCGCTAGTCTGCAAATCACTTGCACTTGACAATTCAGTCTTATCCAAGTCAAATCACCTCCATTCCTCAACTATCACTGCACAATTATTACACGTTGAAATGCAGGCTTGAGGGCTTTGGAAGAGAATTTCTTTGAAAGTGGAGGTAAAACGAGATTGAAGTAGGTGAATGACAAGCAGACTATATTTCCAGCTAAAAGCCTATATTTAACACAGTTTCTGTTCAGCTCCATTTTGCTAACATGATTTCATGTCTTGGATGGCAAACGAAGGTAAAAAGAATGGAGAGGGAGAGGTGCAGGACATGAGAGCCTGAGGCAACAGAAAGAAGTAAAATTAAATGACAGGAATTTTGTTTCTGTGGGCCATAATTTTAGATATAACATCCTAAATAAAGTAACTGAAACATGAAGGCAAAATAAGCAAAAAATAATACAGACTTTGCAGAAATAAAAGAGCTTACCTGCTTTAGAACTTCAACTAAAACTAAACAAAAAATGAAATCTACTGCTAAGTCTCTCCTTTCAAGAAGATAATCTCTTTCACGTTGCTGTTCATCCCTGAAACAAGAACCCCAGATTAGGATTGCATTAAGACTGTCAATTTGAAAATAGCTCTTGGTTAGTAGTTCATGTTATTTACTGAGTGCCTAGTACGAATGGTGTCCCACAGCAATTGTTAGTACAAGTTTTTGTAATAACCCCATGTATGTATTATATATATTCACAATCTTTCTCTTTTTGTACATTAGGAGCTTGTACATACCTCTCACTGTTACATCTGTCAGAAATTAAACCTAACCTAAAGAACTAGTAAGAGGAAGAAAAATATGAAAATACAGTGCCAGATAACTTTCTCATAAATCTAAGTTGAAAAATCACAGATGGCGTCTACTGAAATCCAATTCTAAACTAAAGACCATCACCTGAACACAAATAGATGTTTTATTTAAAACCACAATCTCCCTGGGAAACTGGAAAGAGAAGAAGACAAGTTGTAGGATTTGAACACCAAGAAGAGTCTCACGGTAAAAGAATACAGGGTTTTGGCCATAGTTGGGGGTGGATATAGCTCAGTGGTAAAGCGCATGCTTAGCATGCATGAGGTCTTGGGTTCAATCACTAGTATCTCCATTAAAAGAAAAACAAAAAGAATATAGAATTTTGGCAGTTTTCCTGCATCACAACAATTGCTTTCCATCACAAACCACCTGAATAAGTCTTTCTTTGAATATTTTCTTAACTTCCTGTATGACTGTTAAAGCTCCTCACTGAACTACTGAAAAGGCACTCCTGAATTCAGTTTTGCGTGACTAGTTCCAGTGATGACTCCTGCAGGGCTGCACCTACTTTAACTGATACCTTCCTTTGATTTACAGTTTAAGCGTGGACTATCTTTTCCCCTTGTTACCACTTCATAACAAAAGTAATTGATGTTTTTGCTTAGAAACCAAACAATAACAACCTTCAGTTGGTAACACTAGTACCCCCTTCATTGGGAGTGTTTCGATCCCAGGTAGAACAGTAGAAAATGTGCCACTTACCCCTTAGATTTTGTGCTAGATCGAGGCCTATATTCGTAAGATTCATCTTCAGTTCCATTCTGGCGTCTGTACCAGTCAAACAAGGTGCGAAGTAAGGAAGGGAGACAGTGCTCTGCTACTGAGCTCATAGAGCTTATCAACTGAAAACACAAGATATTACCAGAAGGTAACATACAACATCTAAGTACCACATTTCTAGTTCCACTAGCAATCACTTAGAAATGAGTAACATTTCTAGAATAAAGACAGAATAAACACAGTAACTCAAAAACAATACATGGGTTTTAAAATAAAAATAAGGACTAAGGGTTTAGCCAAGTAATACAGTAAAGTGAGCTAAGTTTCACTAACTACTAAATTTTAACCAGAACCATTCAGGTTAGCTCAGTGGCTCTCCACCTTTTTCCTGACTCCATTTGCTACTCACATGTATAAAAACACGACCACCAGTAACATCCCTGATTATATACCATACCTCTGGGTGAGCTGCTAAGCATACCATCAAACAACCACACCTACTTCCTACCCCTGGCTAGTTCCTCTCTGCTGATATGAATGAAATGTTCTAAAATGTTGCCACTGGAAAAGATGAAGAGATGTAGAAACAAAGAAGACTGCACTGTGTTAGAACTGTGGGGAAAGCTCCAGTTTACTCTGTACTGCTATTGACACAGAACAGAGAATTATAATAACATAATCAATCTGTGATAATCACAAATAAACTTAATAGAAATGTGCTGTAATATATGCTTTTAAAGCTTAGGATATATAAATGGACAGCACAAAGGTAAATGGAGTGGGATGAACAAATGCTACTCAATTTGAAGCGTCCCTGAAGTTGCCTGAATTGTAGGTGAATTATCAGATTCATTTCACGAATGAATCCAACATGCCGGTAGTGGCGGTAAGAGGTACACCGGCTACCATTAGCAGTCCCAAAGGTCTCTTCATCTCAAGAATCCAGAGAGAAAGAACTCCCTCTTCATAAAAAATTCTGTACCTGATCCAACCCATTGCTCGCAAAATTAGTATTTTTAAATTAGCATATAGTAAAACATGCTTCATTTTGTTTTTCTTAACTAAAAAACTATGGGTTGCAGGAATATTTACGGTCTTGTTCAGTTCCATGCTATAGAAAGTATCAGTTCATGAAGATAAATTGATACCTCTAGGAATTAAACATTTAACTTTCCTAATATTTTATAACTTCCAAACGTATTTTATCCAGGAAAATAGAAAATAATGAAATAGTTTGTTTGATTGTATATGCTATTCTTCCTTTTTTCATTAAATCTGTCTTCCTTTAATAATACATTTATTTATAAATTATCATAATGTAACAGGCAAATAAGGTTCTAATTTTATTCAACTATTTTTGAAAATTTATATTAATAGTGAACAGTATCACTCAAAGGAAATCCCTTTAAATATCTAGGGAAGAAACAACAAAATGCCATCTACTGCTATAAATATATATTAAAGCAGTTTACCCCAACATAGCTTTTTATTGTGAAAAAGAAATCAAGTTATGAAGCATGATCATTTATTGTTTAATTAATCATTTATGTAAGAAAAGAAATGGAAATTTTCCTCAAAATGTTGTTTAATAAGATTTCAAATTCTGATTATTCATTCATTAGTAAAGTGGATGCAAGATGCGAATAATCTAGATATCATTACAGTAATATATTAATACATTAATAATTAATTAATAGCTAGTAGTCACTAGTACTTTGAAAGATTTGAAAAGGGTTACATAAGGTAATCTTATCACCGTAACAGAAGGCTAGCCTTCTCAATTATGGTTTCTTCCTAGACCACTGGCTATTTACTAAGTGCATGAATCGGAATCACCTAGGGAGCTGCTGTTCAATACAGGTGCCAGAGCACCACCCTTGGTGACTGAGTCAGCAGAACTGGACTGGGATCCAGAAACACAGTCTTTTTTGGTAAGCCTCCAGCAAGTAATTCTGACTGGTCATCTCTCTGTAATCAAGTAGACTAATATGAACATTAATTTCCATTTCCTAGAAAGATTAATTATGAGAAAAGTAGCTCAGGAATACTGAGGGCTATACAAAGCTAATCTGGGTTATGGGGTTTTGCAAACAATCAACATGGAATAAAATAATTCTTGAGCAAACATAACTATGATAAAAATAACACTTTATCAAACATTCAATCTCAGCAAGAGGAATTAATATTAGAGGACCACTGCTAAATTTTAGATATTAGTATTCTATATAAAGGGTTTGGGGTTTGGTTTGGTTTTGGTGGGTTCTTTTTTTTTGGCCATTGTGTATCTTCTTTTCGAGTTTCTCTAGCTTTCTAACATAGACAGTCCACTTCACCTTTGCACAAGCACAGCTGGAAGGACAGGCGTGAGCATGGGATGTAGTTAATGCCTCTTAGGGCAACCCTCAACTACTGGGGATAGGGGCTGCAGATAAATGCTCCAGCCCCTCACCCCCATTCTTCAGGCAGACCATGACAGGTGACACTCTGTATAATTCTCAGAATGGAATGAACCGCCAGTGCCCAGAGCAGTGCTCTCTACGATGCACATTTCTATGAGTCTTTCCTCCTCCCAGCTTCACTCTCAAGTCTGCTCCCTGGGATCTCATTCCAGGACCCAGTTCTTGTCTCTGGCTGTGCTTTTAGGATGGGGTGGAGAGGGGAGAGCTGGGCTGGGAGCTTTTAATATAAAGGTTCTGACAGCCCCAGCAGGAAAAAAATAAATGTTAAAAGGTGAAATACTGTCATGTAAAAACTGTAAACAAGGAAAGACTGAGGGACATAATTAGAAACACTCTGAGAAATTTTCAAAGGGCACAGTATAAAACGAGTGCCAATGAAAAGTAAAAAGTTTTAAAATGCTTATTAATGTACCGAAATCAATAAAGTTCACAGCTCATTCTATGAACTATAAAGTTCAAAGTTAGCTCATTCTACTTGTCTTGTTAAAAAATAACCATTTCCATGAAGAAAGAAAAAAAAAGAACGATATCTTACATCAGCCTTCTAAAAAAAAAAAACAACCATTTCCAGACTGAATCTAGTGTATAAAGACATATAGGACCACTAAACAAAATAAAGGGGTTTCTTAATACTGGATATATTCGGACCAGACTGTTAGGATAAATATTTTCCTTTCAGGGATAAGTATTTCCCCACATTGGCATACCTGGTCAAACTGAAGATCTTCACCCCTCTGAAGAGATCTAGACAATGGCTTCTCCTACAATTAAAAAAAAAAAAAGAATATATACAAAATATTAGAAATCTTACATACGATAAACAATTGAGATTTGTGAGCTGGGTTCATTTTTGTTTTCATTTGTAATTAGAATCTTTTTTTTTAAAAGGTTCTAATCTGCTAATTCAAAAACATTTAATATAATTAGTTTAACTTAGAATAGCATACGTAGTGTGACCCTTTTGTGAGTCTACACACTTGCCTTGCTGGCTACCCCACATATAATCATCTCTTATGAATGAATGTAAGAGATGTTTCAGATTATGTTCAAATATATGGTGACTGATTCTTTTGTTGAGATTTTTTAGGATTATTTTCTAAACTTTCCACATTATGGTTTTATATTGAATTTTTATCTGAAATATGTATCACAGAAAAAACAAATGCCATTCTTCTATGAGAAAAACTAGAATTCAAAAATATATATATTTTAAAGTTTGTCTATCCAATAGAGTCCCAATTTCCTTCTCTCATTTATGACTAATCTCCATGAAAATATGCTCACAAATGTACTTGCCTCTGAACTGTAAAATTCCTTATCCAACTATCAGAGAATTGTGTTTCAAACTAATTTAACTGGGGTCAGTAAAATACCTGAATTTCATGGCACTTGACTTTCTTGATAAGGACAGGTTTTTGGCACGTCCTTGGCACTTGAGCCCTCCTAGGCTAAGCACACTTTGGCAACGATCTCATAGACAGGTCTTCTACCTCTAAAAGCAACTATTATACACTATCGACACCCAACACAGTAATGATCCTGTCCATAACATGTACGCCCAAGAAACTAGCTCCAAAATTTAAGTAGAATGGGACATCTCATCGTAAGTCCAACAGAACATTGTTTCTCAGAGTACCTAAAAGTTTGAAAAATACTGAGCTATCCTAATGTGAATTGTGTATTTAAAACCTGGGCGGGGGGTAGTGCTAGGGGAGATGATAAGCAGTTTCTTCCCAACTTATCTGACTTACTTGATCCCCTCCTCTTGATGCCCCCTTTCCACTGTAATATTAAATTTACAGGTCTTCAGTCATGCTTTGAGGAAGGTTGTTCTAAGTAGTTTATTATTCACATACCGTGTTTATACAGTAAAGTAATGGCCAAGAAGAACAGAAGAGAGCAGTAACCTTCTCAGAAACACTTATGCTGTTTTCCTATATTTAACACTTGTCATTTCTCAACAAACTCATGCTTCCTCAAAGGTTTCTGAAGATTTGACATCTTCACGGAGCTTTCCCTAAACCAAACAGTGGGGGTGAGCTATTTTTTCCATAATAAAAACTCAGAAATGATTTTTGAATGCAGAAGAACACTCACATTACCATAAGTACAAAGACGTGAAATAAGAGTACTGCACTAAATAAAAGTACCTCATCAGGGACTTTAAATTAACCTACGGTTGAGGATGACCCAATCATTGTCAAACAGATGTACTTTCAATGTGAGATTTTGAAAAGATAAACCACTTAAAAATATGTTTATAGTAAATGCAACCCACAATCATAACAACTGAAAAGAATACAGATTATTGTCTATATTCACATAAAGATGAATGCAAAGATGTAGGTACAAGAATATTTACTGTAGCATTTTTTTCATAGCAGCCCCAAACTGGTGTAAGTCCCAGATTGTCTATCCACAGAAACAGGTTAAAAAAAAAAGTTTATAGTTCTTTCTTTTATTGAAATAATATTCAACTCTTTGAAAGGATGAAACAAATTTATATGGGCTGATAATAGAACATTCTCTGATTTACATTGTTAAAATAAAAATAGTTACAGAAAAAAAATCCATATAAAACCTCTCATTTGTGTTCCCCTCCCAAAAAAGGTGGACGCTGCTACAGAGATTGATGAATAGTAGACATGAAAAATGGCAGATGAAAAAGTATGGACCGTGATTTGATCCAGAATGGAAGCAAGGGTCATTGTTTTTATTATATAACCTTTAAAACTATTTCTACTTTTTATAATGTCATTAGATTAATAATGATTCTAAAGCTAATAATCCTTTATATTCTAATTTGATTTTTTAACTAGTATCTATGTATGGAGGCACCAATAGCAGCATGGAGCTTCCAGCAAAAGCAAGGGAGTTTATTGAAGATTCTGATGGCATAACAATGATGCTGAAATATTTCAATAATTTGCAACTGCAGATGGCATTCTCTCCTAAACAATCCTTGTCCTCACAGAGCTAAAAGTCTAATGACAGAGCAAAGAAAATACATACTACACCTTACACTGACTTTAGGATAGGAAGTTGCAACAGAGCAGCCTCAAGATTTTATATTGACCACGGGGAAGATGACATTTGAGTCACAATCAGAGGGAAGTGAATAAGCTTGCTACGCAGACTGAAGGAAAGATAATCCAGTCAGTACCTTGGAACTCCCAAAGGGCTGAGGAATCAGAGAACTTCAGTGCTACGAAAGTGTGGGTGAAGGTGAAGTTAAAAGTAAGAGGGCTGGCTGAATGATTGTTCAGGAAAAGTGTAGACCTTCCTTTTCATTCCCTTCACCCTACTTACAAAGGAACTGCCCTTCCTGGGAATGGGCAAAACCCAGACATGCAGACTAGGGGGGTACTACAGTTGAAGATGAGGTATCATACTGAAGGTATCATGTCTTCAACAGGGAGCTTAGGTGAAAATGTACATACCAGATACCAAAAACCCCAGTTACCTCCTGCCTCTAGATCCCAGGATGCTAGCAGCCAAGCTCAGACCCTTCCGTGTGGGCTGCTGAAGGAACCCCCTCAGGAGACTGACCAGCCCCCAACAAAACTGGGATTTCAAAATTGTA